CACTTAGCATGCTCAGATACCTAGGGTCTATGCCCATAGCTTCTTTAAAAACATCACCTTAAGCTTCATCATCTAGACCCATCATATTTTAACTCTTAGAATTGGGCCTCAGATGCTAGGTTTGTTGTAAGTTGGAAGTAATGCTAGAAATCTCATGGTATGAATTTAAAGGAAGAGAGGCACTTCAAAGTGCCATTGAGACGATGGTGGTCGAGGACCGTTAGAGGGGCTTGAACAGAGTCATAAAGAAATGATTTCAACACGAGAAAAAAGTCTGTGGAAGTAGAACATTAAAATTGTCATGAAAAAAACACAGAGATAATTTTTAGTCCATTGTCATTTGTACCTCGGAATTGACTCCTGGGTGTGTGGAAATCATAGCATAATTGATCAAGCCCTGCAATATTTCCACACCAACCTACAAAGAACAGCATCCTCTTAGAATACGGACAAATGGTAATGTAAGAAGGACCTCAGCTGTGAATGGCAAAACAGACGGCCATTATACTGAGCGCTGGAACAATCATTTATCCATCCTGTGACCTTTCAGCCTTGCCAGTGTGGCTGCTCCTTTCCTTTGAGAGCACATAGGCATGAAGCTGGACATTATGGCTGACACCACTGAGTACTTCCTCATTTACACACCCAAGTCACGTGTGTGACTTCTGTATGACTTCCTTCTGAGCAGGATACTTGTCTTTGTGTTTATTATTTACTCATTCTCCCTTTCTCATCATTCTTTTTATTTTTGAGATTATAAAATAATTGCATCATTTCCACCGTCCCTTTCTCCCCTCTAAAATCTTCCATATAACTACTCTTTCTTTCTTTTAAATTCACGGTCTCTTTTTCATTAATTGTCATTACATACCTATATGTACACTATATACATATGCATTCTTAAACATAACTTGCCCAGTCTATAGAATGTTTCTTGTATGTGTGTTATTTAATACCCATTACGCCTGACATTACAATACTAAATAATACCTTAATACCTTGCTCATAAATCATACACTTAGTATGATTCTTATTTGACCCACAACCTAACATTTTTTTTCTTGAAAAGAAGTATCTTATTAGAATAAAAGAAAGAGTTTTTTGTTTTTTTTTTTTTAAGTTTTAGGTACCATAGGGATTATTTGCCCATACTCTCATGTGACCTGGGTGAGGCTGACCTGCAATATGTCCCCCGATCCCTTGCTGGGAGTACAAGTAATCAACCTTTTGCATAGCTTTCCAGGTGGTCCCCATGCTTCTACAGAGAACAACTCCTCTGTCCCCAGCAGCTGGCATCCTCATGAGATTCATTAATATACTTTCAACAGTGCAAGTATGAATCTTCACAGATTTGTGGACTGCCCACAGTAATGCCTTCCTGCATGAATGACAAAAGAGACTCTACAGATGCAAGGAAACAAACTTTTAAGAAACATCTGCTTTTTTTTCATTTCATTACACACTTCATTCAAATTTAGATAAGGTTGGACCAAGAGCTTTATCCTGATCATATTAATTCCTTTTTAAAAATTGCTTGAAATTTTGTTTTTAGCTATATTTGATTAGTTGAAGGCATTAAGCATTACTGGTACTTAAATTCACTATTTGAAATTTTCCTTGTTTATACACTATTATATTTGTCTAATAAAAAAGCTACTGTGCTCTTAAAGCTTATTTCTACCTTAATATTGGATAATGCTGTAGGGATTATTTTAAAATTTGAATATTATTAAAAATTAAAACATTCTATCAGAATAAGTACTTATGTAATTAAAGTTTATACATTGTTACTTACACAAAATATATCTTTTTATTTACATGATTTTTAACAAAGGTTCAAAATACTTTTATGTGTATACTTGCTGCTGTAAAAGCAAAACCAGTAAATGATGCACTTAAACCAATAAATCCAGATGCCCCACCTAAAGTCCATTTCTGAATGCATCTTATTTTCCAAACTGTCTGTCATCTGTGACAGTACAGGTAAGCCAAGTGCAATCCAGGTTCACTGCAAGAGGTCCTAAACTAAGTCTGCGTTCTATGGTAAACACAATTAGACATTTATATTGAATATAAGTTCTAGGTTATTTCAGTGTATTAGTAATATGCATTGTCTCCTTACAACCATCAGCTCACACCATTACAAAAGCTTCTATGACTATTTTACATGAAGTCTCTCTGAAATCCATGTCTAGTCAAATATTAATGGTTTCATTTTATAGAAAAATTTAAGTCAGTAATACTAGACTTGATACATACTAGGTAAGGAATGGGAAATAAGAGTCCTAGAGAAGTGTTTAGAAGAAACCTTAAAAAGACAAAAGTATTCTATAAGATTTTAATTACAAAAGTTGCCATATTCCACAAAGGGTGGGCTAAGGATTGGGAGATGTGGGAATCCCAGCTGGTACAAGGGGAAACTAAAACAAAACAGTAATTGTTGGGCAGGGAAGAACCCAGAAATATGAATCAAATGGGGATCATAGACCATGAAACCATAAATAAAGAAATTGCTTAAAATTTCAGTAAATTAAAACACGAGTGACAAAATATCTTTACTGAGGGAGAAGAAACCATGAGCCCAGGATGGGAGAAAGAAAAAAAATAGGCTTCGTCCGAGGTCAGAGGAAAGGCAGCAGTATTACCAACATTTACCAATTGTTTAGTAAAATCAATATGGGACTAAGGGCACACTAATAGCACCATTCAAGAGTTGACATATTAATTCATGTAACCCTCTTTAAGAAAATCATGACATTTTACATCTGGGAATCGCATGGAAGGATGCCCAGTCCAATGGACTGCTGGTGATTGGAGCAAAAGGGTCAGTAAGGGAGGCATGAAGGCAGAGAAGTTTGCCATCTTGTCTTCATAGCCTAATATGCTTTTGCACCTATTTATTGCACCCAAATTTCTTAAAGCAGTGTACTATATATAGAAGTTATTAATAATAAGTGTTTCTTGGAAGGCAGGTGAAAGTAAATACATGACCACATTTAGAATCAAATTAAACTAGGAAAGCAAGTGTTTCTATATTATTTAAACCTAGTACCTAGGAAGGTGCATCTTAATAGGTTTTATGGAAATTTAAGAAAATAAGTTTCAGCTAGTGAAGGAGCTAACTAGAGGGAGGAGGGAGAGCAACACAGAGAAAAGGGGGACAGGGGCAAAGTTTAGTAAAGAGAGGGTCAGGGGACGGCTGCACACACACACACACACACAAACACACACACAGAGACAGAGACAGAGAATGTGAATATTTCCAACCTGTAGCATTTCATATAGGAAATACAGGTTTTTTTTTTATATGGCATTAAATAACACTTTCACTTAATCCAAGTGATAACATTTTTCTTTAAAAAAAAAAGTCGTAGCTGGGTGGGTGGTGCATGCCTTTCATCCCAGCACTTGGGAAGTAGAGCGACATGGCTCTAGATCTACTATATAGATCTCTATATAGCAAGTTCCAGGACATCCAGGGCTATGTAGAGAGACTCTGTCTCAAAAATCGTACTTATTATTGTGTGTTCCTGTGTGTTTATGCACATGCACACAGATGCACACATGCCAGGGCATGTAAGTAGAAGTCAGAGAACAACCCAGAGGGTTGGTCTTATTCTTCCACCATATGCATACTGGGGAATGAGCTCAAGCCTTCAGACTTTGGCTGCCAGTACCTTTACATCAGCAGATCCCCTCACCCCGAGTGTGAAGTCTGATAATCAAAGTCAAGCCTTTCTCTACACCTTATCCTACAAAGCCTAAGTACACAGAGGAAGGAAGAAACACTACCATTAAAAAGTTGCTAGAAAATAAGACATAGGGGAACTGTTGCTTGCTCTACTCCTCTTAAGACATCAAACACCAAGGAAGACAAGTGATCATTCTTAACAACACAGAGAAGAGCAACTTAATCCACCAAGATGCTAAGCAATCTGGTTCTTTATGTTCTTGAGAGTTTCAGACCTTCTACCCATAAGTTGCATGCAACTAGTTCAATGTTGAAATGGCTGAAAAAGTCTTCCAATTTATTTGTCAACATAATCCAACAATATGCTGTTTAACATAAATATTCTAGAGTGCCAAATGAGCTTTAAAATTTCATGGAAAACTTCTTATGTAAGTAAATATTGTGACCACAAGTTAGTGTTATTGAGGAAAAATGGGAGAAACAATTACAATTACAGAAGGAGAAACAGGCTGTCAAGTTAAATTGTTTCACAACTTCTCTTACCATTGCTTTGACTTAACATTGAGTGAGCATAGTAATGGTTTATGTAATATGCAAAAATCAAATGTGAAATTTTAAGCCATGCTTTTTTGTATTTTGAAATGAAAAAGTCATCAATGCCCCTTGTTTGGGTGTGTGCACATACAAGCAAACCCTCAGGATACAACTCTTTTAAGATTTCAAGCCATAGAAATTGCTGGAAACACACACATATATTCAAACATCTTTTGGATGAATCCACTGACCCATTTTTCTAAAGTAAATACTGCCTCTGGGTTTCTACTTGCATTGAAACAGTAACAAACCGGGCTCAATTGTATCCTCACAGAACCTTGAAGACTGTCCTTCAAGTTGCACAACTGACCTTTTCCCCAAAAAAATTACAGGCATCCATGGCCTCAAAGGCACACAAGTGCATTATGGAACATTTTGAAACAAAGAATTGTGTTGCTTTTCTTGTATAAGAACCAATTTAGATGTCAAACACTTCTTTGCATTTCCTTGCATATTTGCAAACATGACTTTTAGTATTATTTTTTTTTTCACTTAAAGGAAAATAATTAATCACTTTACAGGTTAACAAACAATACCTTCTTCAATGAGCTGCACAAAAGAAAAATTAAGAGTATGCATTTAGCAGATTTTTCAGACACAGAAAAGAGAAAACTGAATACACGCACAAATCCTGTCTCAAGTCCTGGCATGAAGACCACAACCCGGGCATCTCCAGCACAACGCCCATGTGCGAGGTGGAGAGCACTGTACTCACCCGTCTGGCTGAGCTGCGATGTGCTTCTGCTTCTTCGAGAGACGATGGCGACCACCTTGGCACTCAGGCTGGATCTCCGCTTCTTTCCGCCTGCTCCAACGGTCCCCACAGCAGTGTCAGACTGGCTGCCGTCATTATGCTCCAGTGTGTATATCTCTCCACTTACACTGGTGCTCTTGATGATGGCTCTTCCTGAAGTCCCCATCCGTCTGCCTTGCATTTTGGGGGTAAATGAACTATATTTACAAAGTAAAAACATATATGCATCCATAAATTACAGGTCAGCATAACTGAAACTATAAAACTAAGTTTTTTTTTTTTTTAAGTAATCCAGATACATCTTTTTTATTTTCAGGTGAAAGAGCCAGCTGAGTGGTAGCCCTACTATGTCAGTTTTAAGATGACATCACTTTTCTTTCTCTAAATATTCCTTTTATGTGCATGTGTGAGGGCTAGAGAAGACCTGTGTGTGCACCAAGTGCCCATGGGAGTCAGAAGAGGGCATCAGATGCTCTGGAACTGGAAGTTACAGATGGCTGTTAGCTGTCATATGAATGCTGGGAATTGAACCTGGTCGAGTCCTTGACAAGAGCAATAAGAGCTCACAACTGCGGAACCACATCTGTCTACAATCCCAATACTTCTCTTAAGATGATTGCAGGGCACAGATTAAGCTATGACATTTAGACACAGAAGTAGCTATGGCATGTCTCTCTTCTTCCTTCCTTCCTTCCTTCCTTCCTTCCTTCCTTCCTTCCTTCCTTCCTCTTTCCCTCCCTCCCTTTCTCCCTTCCTTCCTTCTACCTTTTCTTTTTCTTTTTCAGACAAGGTCTTACTTTGTAGCCCATGCTTTTCTAGAACTTGCTAAGTACCCCAAGCTGGCCTCAAATTCACAAAGAGCCAACTGACTCTGCCTCCTGAGTGTTGGGATTAAAGCTGTGGACCATTCACCACAGTGCCTGCCTCGAAGTAATAGACTTTTAAACACAGGAAAGAGAAATATCTCCAGTGCTGTCTCTAGGAAAGAGTAAACAACCCATAATATTCTAAATCTTTTGGGTTCTAACAATGTCATGTGACGAAGACAAACTTGGCCATCACATATTAGTCCTTTCATTTTTTCCTTCTTATTTTGCAATACAAAGTCCACATTAGAATTAACACGGGATAGTTAACATAAATACCTACATTTTATGTTAATAATAACAAATCCTACTCTTTCTATGAAGCTTTGTAACTTATTTGTGTATACCTACATGGTGTCATTTAAATTATAGGGAAACTATCAAAATATGCCTTCAGGAAGATGGGAGTGACCAGAAAGATCAGAAAGTCTAGGGCTTTCGAATTACTAATAACTGAGAATGACTTTTTTTTCCCCAAGACAGGGTTTCTCTGTAGCTTTGGAGCCTGTCTAGAACTAGCTCTTGTAGACCAGGTTGGCCTTGAACTCACAGAGATTCGCCTGCCTCTGCCTCCCTAGTGCTGGGATTAAAGTCATGTACGACCACTGCCCACGAAACTGACTTTTGGTATGAACTGTTTGAAATATTTAACCTTTAGCTGCACTACTTTCACAGGACAACATCAGAATTAAGCAATATGGAGACATTTTGAGGTATTGGGGTCAATCTCAGGACCTCAGACATGCTAGACCACTGAATTATTCCCACCTCCAATCAGCAATGAGGTTATTATCTCCAGTTTTGTTCCAAACAAAATTTTTAAAGTTTTAAACCATTTGCAGATTTCAGCTTTTGTACCTTGTTTTTCAAAACATTGATGAGGGGAGAACTACTTGTGCATGGTCAAAAGTTGACTTGTATGTGGTCTATAATAGGAACTCTAACTGAAACAGCAAGCACAGGGCTGACATGTGTCTGTGCAAGGTCCTCTGTGTATATATTGCAGCTTTTAGCATAGTATTTTTATGGGACTCCTGACTCTGAGAATAAGTGGGTCTTTGATTCTTGTGCCTGCTGTTGGAACTTTTCTCCTTCTGTTGGGTTGCTTTGTCCAACATTGATATGATAGTTTCTGCTTCATCTTGTTATTTTATCATGTTTGGTTGTTATCTCTTAGAAGTCTGCTCTTTTCTCATGAGAGATAGTGAGTGAATCCAGAGGGGAGGGGTTGTGGGGTAGGAATTGGGAAGAGTACAGGGAAAGGAAACTATAATCAGAATATATTGCATGAGAGAAGAATCTATTTGCAATAAAGGAAAAAATATTGAATGAAAAAATAACAACAACAGCAATAATTAATCTTCTAATAAATGTTACCACGGTGCCCTCATGAATTTATTTGAATGGATTATAATTCTATATCCTCTTTAGGCATACTCTTGCTATCTCCATTTCCTATTATCCTGTCTATGACTTGCCCAATTCTGTGGTGGATCGATATAAAGTGTCAAGCTTGTTCAAGTTCTTGATCATAAATTATGCACCTTAAACTTATTACTAAAAAATCAACAGCATTGCATCTACCATTGTTCATGTGTGTGTTCATGAGTATGCATATGCATGTGTGTGTCCATTTGTGCATCAGTATGTATCATGTGTGCACATGTGTATGTTTATATGTGTGTATACATATAGGTTTTCAGGTGTGTATATATGTATGAATATATAAGTGTGTGCATGTGTTCATGTGCATGTATGAGTGTGTGTTCATGTGTATGTGTGTGCATGTGTATGGAGTCAACGTTACATTTACTGTTTTAGGAGCTCTCTACTCAGCTTTCTGAGAGGGTCTCTCCTTGGAGTCTGAGGCTCACCAATTAGCCTAAGCTGGCTGGCCAGAGAGCTCAGGAGATTTGCCTGACTAGGCCTCCCAAATTGTGGGATTTAAAAGATGCCTTGCTGGGTTCCTATGCAGGTGATGAGAATCAACGTCAGTTCCTCATGTTTGTGTGTCAGCCACTTCATCAGCTGAACCACCTTCCTAATCACTCACTAGTTTTTAGTTTTGTTTGTTTGTTTTTTAATACATTATATCTAGTGGTTTTTCAAGTCTCTCTTTAATTATTTTCAGTTCTGTAGAAAGGTATAGTGTAGGCAAATAATTATAGTAAGGAATGAACATGTATGTGATTTCTCTTTATTATATCCAAAAATGGAATTCTATTACTGCTATCAACTTATCTTTTAAAAAATATAATTTCATTACTCCTTGGCCTTTTGGCTAAGATCAACTAGAAAATGTCATTTCACCATCAGAAGTACTGTGAAACTCAAAGCATCTTCCCTTAAGCCAGAGAGAAGTTAAAAGTTAAGTCAAATGCCTCTAACCATATTCGTATTGTGAAATATATTTAGGATAAGCTGGGAGGGTTCAAAACTTTTTATAAATATTTTATTATAGCAATGAAATATTTCACCATGCTGACAAATGTTTTTCGAATTAGCAAACATTTGGGTAGCAATGGTACCATTTGATAGGTCTACATTTTTAAGTTACGGTAAATAATTCTATAAAAAAATTTAAATTATTTCTCCTTGAAATCTGAAGTATTTGCTTAGATGCTTACAGTAATTTTTATATAAAAATGTCCATATCTCTCTAAAAGTCTTAGCACACCTGTGCTGTTCCATGAGAGAGGTCAGGCGTTTTCAGTTCTACTGACCTACCAACATAATCAATCAGATTCATGAATACAAGTTTAGGGTATTAATAGAAATATGCTTTCTACAACACACAGCCTCACTTCTTAAATTCATTACTTCTGCTTTTATAGATCTCCACAAAATGATGGTAAGCCCCTATTACTGAAGACAACGATTACAAAAGTCATTGACCGTGGAGAAGTCTAGCTGGTGTGTACCTAGAGCCTTCACCCTACTGACTCGTGGTCATGTGACTGGAGGCTACTCTGCACTTTACCAAAGGAGAAAGGTACATGATCCCAGCAACAAGCCCTTTGGTGTACAATGGTGACCTCCAAGATGCACTAGTTCAATAGTGGGAAAAAAACTTGTGGGAGTAACCAATACCTGATCCAATTTATAGCCCACTCCACGAGACAATTAATTCCCCGACATGCTCAGTTGACCAAGAACCTGAGGCTATTATAGACAGGGACATATGGGAAAATCAAATACTATTATTCTGCTCAAAGAACATAGAAATAAAATTATTCCTAGGGACATTCTGCCAATTTCAGATCAATGTCATGCTCAAAGAGATGTTTTCTTGCTTTAAATGAGAACTAAGAAGAACACCCACAATGAACAATGGGCAGAGAGTCTGAGACCGTGGAACGCTCAGAACTTGTAAAACTTGATCTCATCCAAAGGGCTGAGAAGTGATGCATTATTTCCTTAATGAAAGTTGAGAGCAATAATAGAATTCCATTTTATGGACATAATAAGGTGAATGCATATACATATTGATTTAATTGATTGAGTTCATTGAATTGAAAATGTATTTTCAATTAAGAAGCTGGGTTGTCTTCCACAAATCACTCTCCTCAGGCCTCAGGGAACCCTGTAAGAAGAGGAGGCAGAAAGAGGGTATTGGGTCAACAAGGTCATAGAAACACAGAAGGACACATATGAACTCACAGAGACCATGGTAGCAAGCATAGGAGATGCACAGGACTGGGCCAGATAGGGTCCCAGTGCTGAGAGGTGGAGTGGACATAGCTCCCCTCCTGTCCCTAACACAGAAGTTAACTTTGATTGAGAAACCACTTCAAGGGAATTTTACTGGGCATACAAACCACTGTTAAGGGCAGGCTCCATGCCTACCAATAGATGAACAACACAAAAGGAACTCAATGACATTTTTGGAGGTTGTTTTATAACGGTTTGTTAGGGTTCTTCCCCCTTTACAGGTCCTTTGTGTATATATTATGGTTTTGTTATTGTGTTTATGTAAGGACATATGTTTGTGAAAATGTGTGTACCTCTGCATCTATGTGAGTTTATTGTGCTTTTTCTTAAGTTCATTAATTTTTTTTCTTCCAGAAGTTCTCTATACCTCTTCCTCACCTTTTGTCATTTTACAAACCGAAAATTTGTGTTAGGTTTGTTATTACTTTGCAAAAACTGGCTAGCAAAGTCACCACTGTAATACATAGTCAGGTTCTTATTGACCTAGAGCACATTATCCAGATTTGAATTGATATCAGCAATCATTCTCTCACTCCAGTCATCCTCTTTATTTTCTGAAATGATTGTATACACATGTGTGCACGTCTGCCTGCGTGTATAATTACACAAGTTTCTGAGAT